TTTTTCATAGGAAGTTGCTAGAAAGGCATGGCACACACTTCTCCAAATGCACAGAGGCTGAGCATGGTAATACACATCATACACACTTACAAATACACCCATCCATCCATCCATCCATCCATCCATCTATCTATCTAGCCTGAAAACCTCAAAAAGTCACTCCATTTCTGATCCTGCCTTTTCTTCCCCTCTCCCTCCTTTTCTAAGGACTTCAGGCTCCCACTCTTTGCCAGCTGTCCCCAAAGGGGCCAAGGATTAACTCATCAGTCGGCTAGTGGCCAAAGGCACTACTCTCATTGGCCGTAGGGTACGGGAAGTGGGGCGGGGGAGGGGGCTAATGCCAATTGATGAGAAGGTACAATGGTGTTAGGTGCCATGTCAGGAGCGACAGCACCCCCAGATGATGGATGAAGACCAAACTCCCTCAAGGTGCTCAATAAATCCACTTGCATATGCATGGGCTGAAATGCAGAAGCACACATGTACGCGCACACACATTCCCCCTTAGAGTCATTCACTATTGTTTATGACATTTGTGTAACCTGCCAAAGCGGAAGCACCAATCCAGAGAAGGAAAGAATGTATTTCTGGGACAAGCCAATGCCTTTTGTCTGTTAGGTCCCATTTCTCAGCTTCTCTGCTTGGGTTGGCTTTCCAAGCAAGAGCTGGTCATTAACCTACATCCACGTGAAGAAGCATCCTCTCCCAGGTCTCCCCACCGCCTCTCAGGCTCATCTCCCAGGGTCTTCTCTGTACTGAAGGGGGGCCACACCAGGGACCTTAGCATTCCCATCCTTTACAGTGATGGGCTGGGTCTAGTTGAGCTGTAGCCTTGCAACTCATTTAGGCTCTGCTAAGGACCCCTCTTAGGGGGAGTTCTCCTTTTGGGGGAGGGGGCACAAACCCCAGTCCTCTGACCATCTGGCAATGGCTTCTATGAGGAGACTAACGGGGCCCTGAGGCCAAGTTTCTAACGAGCATGATGCAAAAGTCTTTGGAATGCGCCCTCTTGTGGCCTGTCCCCTGTCCTAGGCAAAGAGAACTGGGCGACCCCCGCACCCCCAGCATCGGCAGCCCCTGTGGCAGACAGCATCCCCACTGCCTGCGTTCCTTCTCTCATGCCCAGCACAGCCTGAGCTCCAGACAGAGGTTGTGTCTCTAGGTAAGGAATCAATCAGTGACTCCAAGCTCCCCCAACCCCTCAGCAAACAATGCCCTCCAGGCCCCAGGATTCCAGGGACCTCCCCCTGCAGCTTTCTCGGCACTTTCTCCAGCCGGGCGGTTTCAGATTTCTCCTCTCCTTCCCTTCCTAGTTCTCTCTCCCCTCCTCCTCCCTGCTGCCTGGGGGCTGCTCTGAGTCGGTCACCTAGCTGGCTGCTCGAAAAGCTGCCAGCCTCATCCTCTGGCCTGGGCAGTAGCCCAAAGCTTAACAGTTCACTGACTAAGAAGTTCCCTTTTTTAATAAAACAACACTGTTGCCCCTCTCCCTACACCCCCCATAGCAACATTTGCAAAACTAGAGGGAGCCACCTGCCAGGCTGAGTGACGCTCCCCTGCCCCCTTCCCCTCTCTCTACCTGCTCCCTGAAAACAGGACAATACCTGGAGGCCATTCTCTGAGGTGGGGGAGGGGTCCCAAGCCATCCTGAGAGCTCACCTAGGCTCCAGATGGAGCTCTGGGTTGATAAGTCAGGAGAAAACTTTTTTTTTTTTTTTTTTTTTACTGAATGGAAGAAATGGGAAGCAAGGGTTGGATCAGCACAGCTGTCTCCCTACTGCTTGAAAAAAGTCATGCCTGGGGGTAAAGCCAGGAGGAAGCAGCCCCACCTGCCAAGAAACCTTGAGCTGAATAGGCACCTGAATGAGGTGCTTCAGCAGCAGCTTCTGGGTCCTCACCATGACCCCTCTCTGCCTTCAATATGCTCTAGGAAGCAAGTGACAGAAAGACAGGCAAATACGGCATCTGTGGCCAAGGATGATGCTTCTTGTGTCTGGGGACAGCAGGGCATTCCATTGGCTTACGTTCATGCTATAGAAAATACCTTAGCAAGGAAGTCCTTCTGATCATCTCTGGAGGTCCTCAGGCCTGGATGATGTTCTGTGGAAGGCACCATTCTGAAAGCCCCATCGGCCTCCTATCCATCTTTATCATCATCAGAGCCAAATCATCAGCCCTAAGGCCAACAGGTCCTGACCAATCCCACACTGTTTCTAGGTCAAGGGTTTCTTCCCATGGGTCAGACGGACCCCTTTGGCAGTCCGGTGAAGCTATGGACCCCCTCTCAGAATCATGTGTTGAAATACATAAGATCCATAGGAATACAAAGGAAACCAAGGATACTGAAATACAATTGTCAAACTTAAAAAAATTCTCACAGCCCAGGTTCAGAAGCCCTGCTCTGGAGTCACACAGCTCCTGCTTTGGTGGTAAAGGTTACACTATGGCAAGATACTGAAATGTTCTTATTCTTATGGGTGGGGGTGGGGGTTACAAACAAAACAAAGCAACTTTGCCAGGGGCCTGTTCCCAAAGCCCCACTAATCCCCCTCCGCCCTTGAATCTTCAAACCAAGCAGGCAAGAGTTTTCCACTACAAGGTTCGACTCTAGACAATGTGGGATTCATTTAACCCCTTAAGAGGGATAGTTCTGTTTCCTTCAGACTAACTGCTTAGCAGGTAGTAAAGGCAAGGCTGTTGTGAGTCAGAGAAGAAAGCTGTCTTGGCTGAGAGAGGAAAAGGCAGAAAGCTGAGAGAGGGTGGTCAACAGCAGAGTAAAAGAGCAGCTATGTCTCTGGTACCCAGGTCGAGAGCCATTCCAGGAGGCAGCATGCTCTGGCACTAAGTTTGCCTCAGTTTTAGATGCTAGAAGCCCCTCTCTCCCAGCTATCCCCAAAGAGGCCAGGGGCAGAAGGGTAAGTTGCATGATCAGCTAGCTGCTGGTCTAAAGCACTGCTGTCATTGGCCAAGTGGTACCCCAGGATAAAGCCAATTGAGGAGGTATAATAGATCAGAATCAGGTGCCGTAAGAGGTATGTTAAAATATCTACCACATTTCTTTGTGTCAGGGAACTTGGGGACTAGGCTGGCAAGCAACATGGCCTAGGCTGATACGCACTGACCACTTGCCCCCAAATTCATCAGGTAGAAAAGAAAAGAATCGTGGGGAGTCGCTAGCCAACCCGAAGTCTGGAGAGAGCCAGCACCAGGGAACGTATGATGTTGGGCTGGATTGACTGAGGGCAGCGGGAAGCTGGCTGGAGGCAGGGACTGTTCACTTCCTGACCTGGCACTTCTTTCTTGCACACAGGACCTCTGAGTCAACAGGTTTTCAGGGCTGCAAAGTCCTAAGCATTGCCTGGATTGTGGTGCTAGCTGTGGCCGACTTCTCACAAGTGCCTGGAGCCCCTTTTCTGACTGAATGCTCACTGCTGAAGCACAGCCAAACTAGGCTTCTTCCTCCAGTGGCTCTGGGGGTGGGGGAAAGTCCTTTGCCTGGGGGGCGGGGGGCGGAAGCACAAAATGCTCCTTTTCTGGATGTGCTTGGAAAGCCCAACCTGCTCCTGCCCTCCTCCCGGGCAAACAGGCACCAGGGGAGCCCCCTTCTGCCCTGCCAAAGCTCTGCCTCTCCGGGCCCCTGCGAACAAGGGGCCCGGAGAGTATCTGCAAGGGGCCAGCAAGGTTGCATTCCTTGGCAGGGGGCAGCCTCTCCGAAACTTCACAGAGAACAAGCCTCTGTTTTCCCCTGCTTTCTTTTTTTGGTTCAGAGGGCAAAAGTCAGTGTTACAAATGTTACCCATGTGAATGCCAGCTCAGAGGGAGCTGACAGCAAGTGCGCCTGCCCCCGGCCCTCCCCAGCTAACGCCCAGGGTGTGCTACCGACAGAGATGCATCTAGATACGAATGGAGCACACGACTGTCTGTCTGTCTGTCTGCCCCTTCGCCTGCCGTCTGTCCGTCCCTCCGATTGTCCGTTCTTTGGGCTGCCTGTCTGCCTCCGTCCGTCAGCATCCCGGGGTTCTGTCGCCCTTCAGACCATCCCGGCGGCAGCGGCGGCACCTTAGCTTCCAAACAATTCTTTCTCCCCTTTCTTTCTGCCTCTCCTTCCCCACCCCATGCAGAAAACAAAACCAAACCGCTACGGCAACGGCGCACTGAGTCTGGGGCCCGGGCCCTGGGCAGAGCTGTTCGGGGGCTCTCAGCTCCAGCTCGGCTGGGCTGGCCGCCACCCCACTCCCCCCCAGGCAGGGAAGCTGGGAGCAAGAATGAAGCGCTCCCATCTTCCCACTCTCCAGGCACCCACCGCTTGCAGGAAGCCTGGGCAGCCTGACTTTCGGCTCTGGAAGGCTGGTCAAAGACATCCCTACCCTCCACCCACCCCCATCACCCACCCCCGTCGGGGCTTTACGAGTTAGGAAGTGTTAGCAGAGAAGACACCACAGATCCCGATACAGTCCCAGCCGAGGGCAGCCGAGGCGGCCCCCACGGCCTGTTCAGGCTTCCCAGGCTGCCCACCTCTGCCTTCCTGATGATGACGCCCACACATGTCCTACTCAGTTCTGTGCCCAGGCTGCTCACCCCTTCCTGTCTGCCCCAGTCACCCCCAAGGGCAGAGACTGATGCAGCCTGCAGGTCCTGCTCCGTTCGGTGCCCAGATTGCCCATGCCCGGCCAAAGCAGCGACTGATGCGGCCCGCCCAGGTCCTGCTCAGTCTTGCGCCAGGCTGCCTACCCGTGCCTGCCCAGCCATGACCAAGGGCAGCCACCGATGCAGCCTGCAGGTCCTGCTCAGTCCCGTGCCCAGGCTGCCTACCCGTGCCTGCCGAGCCTTGGCCAAGGGCAGCGACCGATGCAGCCTGCAGGTCCCGCTCCTTCCTGTGCCCGAGCCACCCGCCCCTGCCTGCCTGCCCAGCCCAGGAGTGCCAGAGCCTAGGGGAGGGCACTCATCGCAAGTGCAGTGTGGTGCGGGTGGGGAGCCACGGAGGCGAAGCGGCAGGCACCCACCTGACTCGGCGAAGGTGATGATCTCGGAGGTTTGCTCCAGGAGCTCATTCATCTCGGCCCGGCGCCCGATGTCGTCCTCGATTTCCACGTACCCGTCCTCACCCACCTTGCCCACATGCAGTTTTTTGATGGCATTGAGCAGGGCTGCCTTGGGCACAGGCTGGCTGACGTCGGGTCGCTTCTTCAAGTGCAGCATGTTTAGGATGTGTTTCTTGACGGCTTCCACCATCTCGGGCTGCGAGCTGGGCAGCTCCTTGGGCAGGCTGCTGAGGGCACAGGACGGGCACTCCGGGACGGGGCCGGGGCTGGCGCCCTCCGAGCCTGGCGTAGGGGAGCTCCTGACTCGAATCCAGCAGAGCGCCAAAAGAAAGCCTCTCAGCGAGAGCCCAGGCATGCTGGCCGCCCGAGCTGGGGTGATTCGCTTTTTTTAAAAGCCGGGGGAGCCTGACCCCCTCCCTCCGGCAGGCAGTGGGCTGGGGTTGCTCGCTCGCTCCCTCGCTTGCTCTCTCGCTCTCTCTCTCCTCCGCGCGCTCGCTCTCTCTCTCTCTTTCTCTCCCCCTCTCTCTCCTTCTCTCTTTCTCTCTCGCTTTTTCCTTCTCTTCAGCAAATTCTCTGGAACGAAAACAAAAAGTTTTCTGTGAAGTTTGGTCTGTAGGTCCCTTTCCTCTCTGAATGCAGTAAGTGCTGGACGTCTGCGGCTCTCAGGGAGGAGAGTTGTGACTGTCTCAGAGTAGGATAGAGGGAGAGAGAGAGAGAGAGAGAGAGAGAGAGAGAGAGAGAGAGAGAGAGAGAGAGAGAGAGAGAGAACGAACGACGGATTGGCCTGAAGTGAGTGAGTGAATGAGAGAGGGAGGGAGTTTTGTCTGTGAGTAAAGGCTATGTATGAGTAGGGAGGGGGAGGAAGAGCCCGGATTCTGACAGGCTGCCTTCCTTATGCTCCTTGCTCCCCAACGCACACCTCTCTTCAAATACCACCATTCTCTCTCTCTCTACTCTCCCTACTTTAAAGGCAGGGGGATCTTTTTCTCTGAGTGTGCCCTCCCTCTTCTCTACTCTACCTCTCCTTCCTGTTTTTTTTTTTTAATTAAAAAAGTTTAAAGAAACAAGGCCAACTGGATGGGATGGGGGGAACTGCTCCCCCCTCCCCGTTAAAACCTTGGACAGCCACCTGGCTCTGAAGGTGAGAGGGTTAAGACTAAAAGGGGGATGGAAGCAGCAATGGGGGGATGGAAGAGGGCATGGAAGAGGGGGAAAGGAGCTGGACTCTGAATGAACAGGAAAAGAGCTGCTTCTCTCTCCTCTTCATTCACATTTAAATGCCCAGGGTTATCAACAACAGCAAGGGATCTGAAGGCAACAGAGGAACAGTGCTTTTGGCATAGAATATAGTACATATTTCTGAACTACAAAATGCATCAGGAGAGAGAGAGAGAGACAGAGAGAGAGAGAGAGACAGAGAGAGAGAGAGAGACAGAGAGAGAGAGAGAGAGAGACAGAGAGAGAGAGAGAGAGAGAGAGAGAGAGAGAGAGAGAGAGAGATTCAAACAGTAGGCAGTCCTGTACATGTCACATTAAGATATTCTTCCCACTCTAGCCTCCTCTCTCTCTCTCTCTCTCTCTCTCTCTCTCTCTCTCTTTCTCTCTCTCTCTCTCACTCACACACACACACACACACACACACACACACACACATGCACAAGTTTACTGCTTTCTTCAGAATTTTTAACCCAAAACTCACTTTTTCTTTCTCACTTTATTTTATACACTGTGCACTCCTATGCCTGAACAACTAGTTCTGTAGGGAAAGCAATCTGAGAGGTATATTGTAGGATGGTTTACTCTATCACGTGACTATTCATCAACTTGCTTCCCCCATCCCCTTGTTCTTTAATGGGTCCTATCTTTTAGTGTGTTTCTTTTTTCTTGGAGGAAAGATGCAAGAGAAATCTTTATGTGTTTTCATTTCCTTTTCCAAATGAAAGACAAACCAGACTTTTTAAAACAGTGCCTTTCCGGAAGGGTCCTCCTTGCCGCTGTGCTCCCCCCCCCATTGTCTATATTCTGCCCCTTTCTTTTATCCTGCAGAAGTTTCTTTAAGGTGTCTCTCTCTCTGAAAGCTCCCCCTACCTGCCTGTCTGTGGGCTTCCCTCTCCCACACAGAAACCCTTTCTCTTTCTGCAGTCAGCTTCTATGTTGGCACCCAGTGTATACAGTACATTACAGTTCAGCATCATCATTGTGGTGGAAAAAAATCCTTTCTAAATCTAAACACCATTAGGTTTCCAATCCCCTTCAACAGTGAGGGCATCAGACCTGAGCATGGAGGGACGGCAGGTAATTGTGGAAAGAAGTTAATATGAGAAAGGTAAATGAACAATCAACAATGTTGTGGTGCAGTCTCCATAGTGCCCACTCTTTCCAGAATAACACTTTATAAGGCATTCCTTGCCATTAACACCCTCTTGCATTTGTGCTTTGAGATCAGCTGCCCTCAGTTCTGACCTTGTTACTGCTCAGGATGTGTCAAGCATTCCCTTTCTCACCCCAGCTTTTTTTTGGGGGGGGGAGGGGTGGGGAGATGGAAGGGGGAGAAGAGCCAGAGTGGAAGGCAGTTGCACTGTCCTCCTCTCCTAAACATATATGTGTAATATAATCCTTCAGATGATATACTTAAATATTTGGAATCTCGTAAACACAAGCCCCAAACATATTGTAATTCAATTAAGTTTTACAAGTGAGTCCGAAAGAGCACTAAAAGTTTAAGTGACTGCAGGAAAGGCAGGCAAGGCAAAGCAGAAGGGAGTGAGACCAAGTCCTGCTCACAGCAGCCCCACATCATCCCTCTCATGACTTGGCCTAAGATAGGTGTCTGTGGGTGAGTGGATGTTCCCCGGATTTATTGTTTGTGAATGGAAGTCTGAAAGGAAAACAAAAAACAAAAAAACAAAAAAACAAAGTCTTCTCATCTCCCATGTGCATTTATTTGTTGATACTGACTGAGGTATGCCAGCCAACCCAGGTTTTATGATACCTTGTCTGGGGTCCATTGCAAGTTCAGCATTAACCTGTTTGATGGACCCCAAGCCCCCACCCCATCCTTTGCTGCAAACCTCCATTTATGTGGCCTTCTCAATAACCTGCAATGCTCCTTCCTCCCCACCCCACCTATCCACGGAAGCAGCCATGGAGCTCTGCATTTTGTGGTCCTGGATGTGCAGACAGGCCCTCAAGAAAAGTTGGAAAGATTTACCTTGCTGTTTGCGGGGCTCCTACCAGCAACTCTCCTTGAATGGGGATAGAGGAAGGCAAGAGGCTTCTTGGTAGTATTCCTAATGGGAAGCTTTATAGCAGACTGCTGATTTGTACACTCACACATTGGTACCACTCAAACTGAAGAGGGCTGGGGCTTTGTTTGGGATTGGTTAGAGCTAGCATTACATCAGCAAGTGACTGGTTTTTCCAGTGTGAGACATATTTCTCTCATAATTCATTATCTAATGGAAAACCCTATTTGTCTGAGATGACACTCACTGTTGGGTGATACACGGAGCCAGTGAATCTCAGCCTTTTAATAGAGAAAATGAGAAGTGAGGAGGCCGCCCACACTAAGCAGCCAGCTCCCAAGTGTTCTCCCACCCCTCAGACACAGTGGGGGACAGTCAGCTCCTCCCAGACTCAGTTTGACTTCTCCAAAGTGGAGGGATCACTTCATTCATTCAGCTCTATGTTTACAGACTGGCTCCTTGGGGCACTCAGTGAAAGAAATGGTCCCTGCTTTCAGAGAAATGTCCTTTTAGTGGGACAAAACTCAGAGAGCAACTCATTTCAAAGGTATCTGAGAAGTCTGCCTGCCCATCCAAAGTCCTTCTGGGGCTGCCTCCCCCCTCCCCAGGACTACAGCTTGATTGGGACCCTAGGAGGCTCCTCCTCATTCCTGAAGCATTTTTTAAAAATCAGGAACAATTTTGGAAATCCTCCCGCTTTCCAAGCAAAATCCTTCCCGGTTCCTGGGGACACAGTTCTCTTAGAAAAAGGAGCCCTCTCATTCCCCTGCCTGCTCAGAAATCATTCTTCATAAGTATTTTTCTTCCTTCCTTCCCCCACTCCTCTCTGTGGTAACAGAACTTTAATGCCATGAAATTCATACAGAGAGATGAAGTCTTTTCATAATAAGAGGAAAGTTTCTCAGGTTAAAAGCAGGAAAGCAGAAAGCCTGAGTGAGAATTTTGAGGGGCTATATGCCCGGTGTGCAAGGGGAGCCTTTGGAGCACAAGCCAGTTTCTCAGGAGGAGTCAGATAAAATGTGCAAAATTGGGAGCTAATAGAAACCATATGACCAGATATGTTGTTTTGTTTGCAGGATTTAACATGCATAAAATAAACTTTTCACTGTGCCCACAAGCAAAATGCACAGGCTCCTGGCCTTCTGTTGTATGGGATAGTTTCAACAGGTCCCTTTCAGCTGAGGGTGGGCTGAAATTCCCATGATAGGATGGTCTCAGCTGGCTGAAAACAGTGTATGTCTGTATCTGTGTGTATGTGTATGTGTGTGCATGTGTGTGCACATTGAACAGTTGATATTTATATTGGGCTCTAAAGTTTGGAAACACTTTATGTACATTATCTTATCTCAACATCCTACTAGCCCTATAAACTTAGTGGTATAAGAATTATTAGGGCTACAGATATGGGTAACCCTGACCATTTTACAGGAAGGGACATTGAAGCTCAAGGAAATGAAATGACTTGTCCATGGACACACAATCTAAATCAGAGGTGCTATTTGAACCTAGATACAGCTCTCTAGATGAACCAAATTGCGATGCTTAACTATGTCCCATGTTGTATTTAATAAGCCCTCTTAGAGTGAAGAGAGAAACCCAGAGAAGTGTGAATGACTTCAGGAAGAGTTTCCCACAGATGCCCAAACATTCAACCACTTTTTGTGAGGGAGAAAAAGAGCTCTGAAGTGTCCGATTTCTTTTTCTTTCTTTTCTTTTCTCTTCTTTTCTTTTCTTTTCTTTCTTTTTTAATCCACTTGTGATGGAATTAGCTTGGGGACTCTTAGGCAAAGCATCAATCAATGTGGACTGGCTTTGCAATTTTGCCATATAGAGTTGCCTTGGGTACTGAAAGGCTCCTTAGTAATAAGAACATTTATACAGGTCTTTGAAATTTGCAAAGTGCTGTACAATTGTTATCTTCTTTGAGCCCAACAACCTTAGGAGGCTGGTGCTATTACTATCCTCATTTCATAGATAAGGAAACTGAGGCTAAGAGTTGACTGACTTGCCCAGGGCCATCCAAATACTAAGTTTCTGAGGCAAGATTTGAACTCAGGTCTTCCTGACTCTGGGACCAGTGTTCTTACTGACTACAGAACCTAGTAGCCTAGAAGGGTTAAGTGAGCTAAGTTACCAGCACAGGGTAATACAGACAACGACTATTAGAGGCAGGACTAGAATGAAGTCTTGCGTGAGTCAGGGGGACCTCTCTAGCCATTGTGCCCATTTCTTCTCTCAATTTCTCTTGAAAAGTACGCAACACTTTGAT